CTTCTTCTTACAATCACATTAATCTAGATATCTGTGGCACCCATTCATCCTATTCCGAGTTCATAAAAAGATACTTAAGTTAGACACTTCATGTCTGCTTCCTTCACTTTCCATATGAACTAAACAATTATAATATCAACTAACACTTATACAAAACCATACTTCAACATAAACATCTTGACCGGGCTACTTACCAACTAAACTAGTACTTCTTAATCATGTAAATGTCAGTATAACAAAGACATAAACATGTAAAATCATTGTAATGGTAAATAATTTGTAGGTTGGCACCCTGTTGGTGCCGGTTATTAATGATATTTTTTTAAAAAAAAAAAAATCATCTAAACGAACAGGAAGGAAAAGGAAACATGATAAAGATATGGGAAAGGTAACACGTGTAACAGTAAAATGTCCATTCTTCCACTTCTAACAGATTTCGTTCCTTTTTTTTGTGGCTTGAACCCTATCACATAAAGGACACACCTCAGGGCCCTTGAACCCTTAGCCTCTTGGAAAAAGTCAAGGAAATAGACCACTAGACAAAAGTCCAGGTGTTCTAACAGAGTTTGTTGAGTGTCTTAGATTTTCCCCACCCCATATTCATAAATGGCAATAAAGCAAAACTATAACTCAAATAAATAGCCTGACTATACCAGCATCTTTTGGACCACTTGACATCAATGCTTGTGGACTAGATTGTTGATGGATGGAGTTTGATTGCTGTTGCATGCTACCAGAACTAACGGCATTGAGACCAGGTGGCTGAACTCCAATTCCCAAGCCAGCTTGAGAGACAGGTGAACTCTGAGAATTGAACTGAGAGATATGATGTCATGACAGATGAAGATAACTCAATTTTTGAAGAAGCTCAATTAATTATAGGAATGAAAAGAAAATGCAGATGTCAAGACTGCATGCCAAAAGGGGGAAGAGGAATCTGTAAAACTGGTGGTGCCATTTAAGTTTGCATATCCAACAGGATAATCACTGCAAAGGAGATCTTTTCTAAAAATGAAACAAAAAAAATAATCAACCATCAAAGCTTCTCAACCTTTTGCAACTATATAGCTCAGACTAATCTAGGTTTTATTTGAGCCTTATCTTTCAGTCATCAGATCTAAAATGAACAGACTCAAGTCAGAGAAGGAATGAAAATAACTAGAGCAAGAAAAGCACCTGTTGCAAGAGTGGGTTTGGCTGTTGAGCAGAAAACTGCTTATGATTTCCTCCAGCAAGGGTGGGAATGCCAAGGAGGGTACTGTGACCTTGTTGCTGCACCTGCTGGAATCGTTGCAAGAATTTCTCCCTCTGATCCGGAGCTATCTCAGTTCGTCCACGAAACTGACCCTGAAAAGTACAAATAAGTTATATGGTACAGCAAGACACTAGTACAAATTTTGTCTATAGAATTTACATAAAATATTAAGGTGATACATGATTACTAACAGAAATGCAACAATAAACAATTTTCACTAGTAGAGAGATCGATAACTCATCTCATGGGTCAACCTTAACCAACTAAAAGCAACCACAAGTCCATGCTATGCAGGATAGGAAATTTACGGTTCTGTTTAGTTGTAAAAAACCTTTTCAAGTTTTCATTTCCTAGAATTATATATAATCAACAGAGAGAATAGTTGTTGTGGAAAACAAAAATAGGAGTTCAGAACTGATAGCAAAAATATGGCGTGGGTTAACTTTTTTCCTTCCAAACCCATGCTATA